TCTGCACGACAGTCCAGGTATCTGTCCTTCCAGCCAACTTGGCATAGGATATAGGATACTTCTACAACTATTTCAAGAGACTGTTGCTGCCCTTCTTTGCTCTAGGAACTGTGAGAACAGTGAATAGGCACACAACTAGTTAAAACTTTATCTTGGAAAAGAATCTGCAGGGAAACAGTTTCCCAGTAAAGGCAGAAATCAAGGATGGCTTACCAAATTTATCTAATAATTTATTTTTCTAATGGTTTGGAGTAAATGCTTGTTATTGAACATCTGTGGAACTTCAGGATATCAACATCCCAACTTCTCTTCTCTCTCATCTTCTTGTCTCTCTTCCAGCTTTTAATTTCATCTGCCTGTATCTTAAATTAACTTCCAGACTGTCTGGGCCAGGAAATGCATTCTCCCATGCGTATCTATGGCAGCTAGTATTCAGAGTCACATGCTTTTAGCCATTATACACATGGGTCTCAGCGTGAATGGTGAATAACAAGTTTTCATGTAGATGAATGCCATCCTGGTCTAAAAAATAATTATGCAGTGTCCTGTGGCATTGCAGACCAGTGCACTAGTTAGGGATAATGTTTAAAACAAGTTTTTTGCCTTCTTCCTCTTGCCTAATGCTTTATTTCTTGGTAAATCCACACCTTCTCCCCGTGAGGAATTCCTGCAATGGAGAAAGTGTCTTTAGCAAGAGGTGCATGAGTAGGTGGAAAAGCATCATAGACTACCTCCTCCCTGCAAAGAATCACCCCATCTGTGCTATTTTATGACACTGTGGGGGAGAGACAAGTATCAAGACTGGCATTTGTTTTTTCAGGCAGCAGGGAAGGTGGGTAGATCCTTTACCCAACCCCACCTGGCTCCAGGTCACACACTTGCCCTGAGGGTCCCATGACTGGCCAGAAGTGGAAAGAAGCTTCAAAAATCTTCTCAGTCTTTACTAGTCATCTGTCAAGGGAAAGCTAGAAATCCAGACATTCACTTTTCCTGGCATCAACATGGAAACATGGTTACCCTCCTTAACCAGAATTAGCATTATTCCAATCTTCTGTGGTGTACCTCAAAATTTACAGTAATCAGTTTTTGTCAGTGCACAATCATAAAAAAGCATCAAATTATTCAGTAAAATTAACTGACTTCAGCCATTTAGAACTTACTAGAAATGTATCTTTACGTTCTAAGAACCATTAAAGAATTTGACCTTACTAGAAACATTTGGCATATTAGAGTGGTTTGTTGTTCTCCCAAACACTGGTGTGTGGAAAAACTAGCAGTTTGTTTGATTCAGCATTCATTTCTCCTCCCTTTCCTGTCTCCATTCACCTGGTGAGTTTTCTGCCTGTGATTAACTTCAGTTTGAGGTTCTTTAATTCCCAGCAAAAGTGAACAGAGGGGTTCTTCCTAACTCTGCATGTTATCATGGGGTGACTCACAAAGCTTTTCCACCTTTACTTTAAACAGCTCGTAGCTACTTTCCTACTGTTAGTGAAATAGTTCAGGCAGGTCTCCTGGCACGGGCCTTGGTGAGTGTTAAGGTTTAGTTCACTTGATTGTGTCTTTTACTCCTCTCTCTGGAGTTCACCTGCTGTTCTTGTTGCATCTATGTTCATGTAGACAATCTCTAGCCTTAAAAACATCTTCTCTGCCTTCCTTTGAAGTTCTGGGATTTAAACCCCCAGCCATGAATGAGGGTTGGCATATAGATAATGTCCACAGCCAGGCAAGAAAGACCCTCCTGACAGGTTTTCACCCAGGGTCTAGCCAGCCTTGGGTGGGAACTGATTAGGAGATCACCACCAGCTGCCCCTGCCTTCCACATTAACTTGGAGACCAGGCAACAAGCCACCTGTATAAGAACTGTCTCTACTTGCAGTGGGTTTAGGAGGTTTGTTGACATGGTGGATGTGCTGTGTGGGGATTATGGTTATTGAAAAGGCTCCCTGAGTCTTCACAGCAAGTAGAGTTCCCAGTAGTACTTGGAACAAGACTGAAAGAGCAAGGGAAATATGAGGCTTTCTCCTGGCATTTACTACACAATTGGGACTGGACTGATCGCCTGGCTCCATCCTTCCTTTCCCCTATGGCCTGGTTTTGGAATTGACTTGCTCCCTTCTTTGCTATGTTACCTATTGTGAGTGAATACGTTGATCTATTCATTCCTCCAGTGGTGGGACACCTTGGATTTCTTATGTATGATCTAAGACCAAGGGGAGGGATATGGCTCATGTGTTGTCCATTAATAATAATATCCTTCCTATCTGAGCACACAGTCAGCAGAAGACCCTTGCAATTCCATTACTTGCTAGCAGAATTAATTAGTAGACAACAGTCTTTTGCCTGGGGATGTCCTCCTAACGATTCACTGGATGCAAAGTGAACTTTATTCTGCAAAACACTGCACATCTACTAGCACAGACTCTGGAAACTAAACCCGTAACCTCATTTTTTTGCCCTTAATTATTCTGTGCCTCTCTTCTTCTGCTGATTGGTTTTTGTCCATTTCTGGACTTCAGTGTCCCTGAAGGGAGTTTCTGTGGTCCATTATCTCTCCAGATTTATCTTATGAGGAATAACCTTTAGCAAGTCACCTTGCAGCTCTTGCTACATAAAGTAACTATTTGCCTGAAACCTTGGCTTTGCAGTCATGGAAAAATGTGCCCCAATGGCAAAGGCCACCAAGCTGTTTTAGCTAGACCATCAGCAGATGAAGACACATGATTATTTCCCTTTACTCAGCACTCGTTAGGCCCTGTCTAAGATACTGCAACCCATTTGCCCTCTCCAACATCGTACATGAAAGACATCAGTAAGGTGGAGTAAGTTCAGTGGAGGGCACCAAGATGAGCAGCACTGGAGCTTTTGCCCTGTGAGGAGAGGCCGAGGGGCCTGGGCTTGTTCAGCCTGGATGAAGGATGGTTGCAGTGAGAGCTCGGTAAATTCAGTACTTAGGTCTCCTTACAAGCATATGGCCAGTTTTGGCCTATTACTTTTCATGCATTTGTTTAATTAATTCCTTGGTCATCCATTCAGTTATTCTTTCTGATAATTGTTACAGTGGAAGGATTATTTTTTAGAAGACTTAGTCTGTTTACTATTAATTAAATTTGCTATATATCTCCAGCAGATCTGTTCTCTGATTGTTTTTGTGATCAAACACAAATCATATAGGTCAATGGCCTAAGAGCTAGAAATAATAAATTTAAGGATTGCCTTAAGGGTCACATTCAGACAGCCTTTATTTTTTCCCATTAGTAACCTAATAAGCAGAAAAATTTAAGGCAGGGCCAAAGCTGTGTGCCTACAATGTTACTGCCTTGATAAATTGGTTCATCAGGCATCGCTGTGTGCTACCATATTAGTAATGATATCTATCAAATTATTTGACAGTTCTGTACGCTTGCTTATTTCTGTAAAAATCGGAATAATAGTGTAGTATTAAACCTTGAGTTGTATTTCATTCCATGTCAGGACTTACCTGTCATCCCTCATTTCTTGTGATTGTACATGAGCTTGTGCACATAATGTAAAGGCATACCAACATACCCTCCCAGGTATTTAAAATACTTAAAGATGCAAATCCTAAATTTCCCAGGCATATCAGTCTGAAGGTCAGCTGCTAGCACTGCAGACCAATGTTGCTGTGTATACTGTGCAGAAGAGTAGCAATCCAGGTACCTCATCTCCTAACTGATGCCTCCAGGGGCCAGGGATGCCAACACCAGGAAAGAATTCTGTGTCTGCCTGTGCCATAGGAGGAGTCATGTTCCCTGAAAATCCCCAAAATATAAGAGGACATGCCTGCTAATCAGGAAGAAAAAATGTCATCCCCTTCCTGTCAAGACATTAAAGGACACCAAAATAAATGAAGAGTCTAATGTCGTTCCTCTGGCATTGGGCCTCCTAGATGGTTGCATGTGACCTGGCAAAATTAAACTTCTGGCCTCTGTCCTATGCATATGAGAGGTTTTACCATCACAATGGTGTCTCATTCCATGAAAGTGGCTCCCATGCAGCGACACATTATAAAATTAATGAGGAATAATAAATAACAAAGTGTGGGTCAGAAGAGTAAGATCCTGCCGGTCTCACCTGCATGTCTAAAGTCTGCTAGGCTTTCAGAGGAACTTCTTTCTCTACACTGACTGTAGGACCTTTTGGGACTCCTATGGGAGGCAGCCTGGCAAGGGCAGGTGAAGAGCACATGAGCACACTTCCCTTTGAAAGCTGGAAGCAGTGAATTTTACTACCTAAACTTTATGCTACTTCTAGATTTAAATTTGCGGGTTGAAACTCCTATTTCAGAATTTTTTCACCTTAAATTTAAGCTCCCTTCTAGTACTATAACATTCCTCCAAGGCAACTAGACTTCCTGGTGGTCCAGACCAGTGAAAGAGTTCATGTATTTCAGTTAGTCTATTAGCAGTTTCCCCACAGCTGCTTCTACTTTACCTCCAGTCAAGCTACAGCATGATGGAAATGTCACAAGTTCAAATTCTGTTGAGGCTGCAG